CTCATATATAAGATATACTCCCATATATACTCTTGCTTTAGCTAATTTTCTATCACACCCAAGGGGAGCTACGTACAGTGTCATTGACACTTTAATTATAGATTTCCAAAGGATGGAATTGAAAAGCAACAATGGATTAAGTTGATAATGTATGCAGATGTTTTTTCTAGGCGTGTTGATGATGAAATCAATGTTGTTATATCGAGTTGCTACTAATACCGCTATCTGCAGCGCACACACACTTGTACTGTAGTGTGGGGAGACCACACAACACCATTTCCAAGCAGTCAATGTTACGGAGCCAATGATTGTTTAAAACCATGCAGTGGGTTCATTGTCATGCCACCGTGATGTCACACTTTGGTGCTCTATTGTCGTTTCTGTGCTTGGCATGAAAAAACATTGTGACCACATTTCCATTTTGGTCCTACATGTAATTGTATTCCCCGAACAGAGTTCGGAGGATGTTATGGATTTGGCCTCGTCGCGCCGCGTCCGCCGCCGCCGCAAAGATTCCTTGTGAGCGCTCTACCGGCTGCAGTTCTTCTCAGATCATCTTCAAATTTTGCAAGAAGGTGCGTTATGGTAAAGCGAAGACGCCAATCGTTTTTGGTGTAGGCAGGGTCATTATTGCCATGGTAACATTTTCTGTCGAAATATTCTAGAACCTGTAACTTCTGCTGTTTTTACCCGATTGTCATGAAATTTCGCACACAGGACCGATATAACATGGCGTTGTGAAATATGGAATTTTCACAACTGCTATTTTCGGAACTGCTACGCCAAGCATTGCCATAGCAACCACACATATTGGGGAAAAGTAATTTCATTTCCCTTTAGCTTCTGCAGTTTGCTATTATATACTATTAATTAGTATTTCCACAAAAAATGTTGTTACCATGGCAACGATGACTGCCCACACCAAAAACGAGTGGCGTCTTTGCTTTACCATAACGCACCTTAATGCCAAATTTGAAGATGATCCGAGAACAACTGCAGCCGGTAGAGCGCTCACAAGAAAATCTGCAGCGGCGCACGCATCCGTATAAGATATTTCCAGAAATTATCACTTACTTTTCTCACTAGCATTCATTTTCTCACTTGCATGATAATATCAATTTTGGTGGAATTGATTTTTGGGAGTATATGTATGGGATTTATATATGGTATTTATATATGGGAGAACTCCCATTATATAGTATATCTTCCAACATTTTGGCCCAAATCAAGACGGCCAAATGGGAAGGCTCCACGACGTGGGATGAGGGCATGGGTTCGGGGGATACATGCATGGACGGCTCCCCCAACCGAGTACTCTTTTCTAGTATATGCTGCGTTCACACTAGCTAGGGTTTTAATTCGGATTGAAATCAAAGTAAATTCATGCTTGATCCGCATCAAGCGTTCAAACTCTATTCGCATGCATCGATCCTGCCGAGTTTAATGCGCATTACTGGGATTCAGGTTTTGTTTTTCATCACCGGATAATTCGCGTTGTATCGGGTTACTCATTTGTGTGTGGCACGCTTGATGTGCATCACCATGCTGTTATATAACTGGGCATTTCTTCACGGAGATGATACCAGAGTCGCCATCTTGGCAACGCATGAATATTTAGTAAGGTTTTCTAAAATTACCTACTAGTTTATTTAATTTTTGTGTTAGATGTTTTTTCTAGGCGTGTTGATGATGAAATCAATGTTGTAATTCGATTGGCGTACTGACTGCTTTAAGTTACCGTGGTCTGCAGCGCACACAGCACTAATTGTACTCTTAAAGTGTGGCAGGCGAGACCACACACCCATTTTCAGCCAGTTAATGTTACCGGAGCCAATGAGTGTTTAAAACAGTGGGTTAATTCAATTCCATTTGCCACGTGGATGTCACTTTTCGGTACGCTTTCCTTATTGTCCGGTTTCCTGGGTGCTTGAACCCATGCATAAAAGCATGTGAACACATTCCATGTCTGGTCGGCTAACTGTCATATATGCTGCGTTAGATCACAAAGCTAGGGGGGTTTTTAAATTCGGGATTGAAATCAAAAGTAAATTCAATATATGGATCCGCATAAATAAGCGTTCAAATCAATTGCGCATTTGCTGAGTTTAATAGCGCATTAACTGGATTCCGGTTTTGTTTTTGATCCACGAGTGCGAATCTGGTTGTTTCGGATTTACTCATTTGTGGTTTTGGCACGCTTGATGTGCATCACCGTGCAGTTAAGGGGCCGGACAGCACAGGCGTTTAATGCAAGACATGAGTTGCCCGACTGCATCGGGCGAATAAATTCTAGTGGCGACTTTGATCGCGCCGAATTGGGAGTGGGACACCACAGGCGATTTAGTCGCCGGTGATTGAGTCGGGCGAATAAATCGGGCGACTAAATCGCCTGGTGTGTCCGGAGAGTTGCTGTGCGTTGATTGTTTAATTCGCCGATTGGGGGTTCGCTTGGACGCACCTTGTTTTTTTTCAACTCGCAGCTTGCATGTGATTTAGTCGCCCGATAATATCAAAACGTTTTGATCCATGCGATTATATAAGTCGGGCGACTAAATCGCCGCGATTTGGGGGTGACAAACCCCAGGCCGATTGAGCGTCGGGCGGGACTAAAAATAGCTGGGGTTGTCGGCTTTATCAGGTGGTGTTTCTTTACGGAAAAAGATGCAATACCATGCAGAGTCGCCATCTTGACAACGCGTGAATATTTAGTTAGGTTTTGTAAAATTACCTACTGCCACCGCGGAATTTAAATAAAAATAATTGTATGTCGCCGCGTTAAAATAGATCCACAGAATTCTAGCCTACACATTAATGCATACATTTTCTATATCAGAGTAATCATTTTAATAATAAAATATTCAGTCAATATCATATACTGTGTATAAGATAAATCTATATATTTAAACATATAATTAGATCTAGCCAAATAATCGGGTACTAATTGGACTAATGGCTGGGGCTATATGGGTTCGTCTATATATTGGGTACAATGTGGGCAATATCTGGGGCTATAATGGTTCGGGCCTAAATAGGGGTCCCAATGGGTACCATTGGCTATATGGGTACAATGGGGGCACTATTGGGCTATCTGGGCTATATGGGCTACGCCTAACTATGGGTCCATATGGGTATCCATCTGGTATTCATGGGGCTAGCGCATATGAGGGCCCATAAGTGCTTCTGGGGTGCAGATGCCTTAGGGGCCCAATGTTTTGGCCCTATGGCCGCAGATGGGTTGGCATATGGGCCCCAGTATGGGAATGCTAGCTGGGTAGCTGTTGTAGCGCGTGTATCTTGCATCTTCTGCGTATGTGCGCACATCACTAACCGCGGGCGACTAAAGCTAAACCTCACAATCCTGTGGATCGAGTTTTGAAGGGCCGGCCTGTAACCGCTAAAGGTGGGTTTAAAACAACAATCGCAGGGGTAGATCGGAGAAAAGACTAAGAGGTAGACAAGGTTACAGAATGAAAAGGTTGGCGCGTGAATCCAGGATTGTGAGTAGGGTTGATTGGGCTGCGTTGCAGTTACTGTAATTGGTGAAGTGAAAATATGCATGCGCTGGTCGCTGGCGCAGCGTTATACACGCGGCTATAGTAGGATTTGTACAGTTAAAGAAGGGCAATCGCGAGGAGACCGGCTGTACTGCTGACATAGCTACTATTCTAGCGAAATGCAAAGCGGCTGGGTGGGCCGAGTGGTCCGTTCTGGAGATTACATGATGGGCTGTTGTATCGTTATGGATGCCGCGAGCAGGAAGGAGGGCGACCCTCTTCGCCAGTTTAGTACAGCAAGAGAGAAGTTCGTCGCGGATAATAACTCCAACGGAGCTGCATGGGCGCGCAACTTCGCGGCGCATTTCGGGAACAGAAAAACTTAAGAAACGATTAGCAGGCGTTGCACGTGATAAGGAATTAAGAAGCGATGTACAGGCGATGGTGTAAGCGTGGAGTGGCTAAAAAGAAAGGGTCGTAAAGTAGGCGACACGCGGTTAAAGCAGGAGAAGGTGGGTGCAGCCGGCTACAAAAGAATCGGCGATCGGGATTTTCCTGGGCCTCTCACCCGAACTGGGAAGCCGGAACGAATACATACTCGTTCTCCCAGTGACTATTTTAGCGAAATGGACTGAAGCTTATGCTTTGGCTTGACAGACGGCGATAACGACGGAGCCGACTGTATTGTGACGCAGGGGTTCGTGACACCCGTTTCGGGGTTCCCCTTAGTTTACACTCGACAGCGGACGAATTTGATCGAGGGTTATTCAGCCGAAATGTGTGGCCTGCTAGGAATTTGACAAAGACCCCAAACAGTGGGCATACAATCCACAATCGATGGTCCAGAGTAGAACCACGCTTCCACCCGGAGTTTACACGACGTTGTTGGCCGTTTTCGTAACTTACAGCACATAACGAGTTGGGAGACTTCCTTACGTGTTAATGGCGTATCGGGTTCCTCCGTACCACCGAGTCAACCGCGTGTATGCCTAATTTGCTAATGTTCGAAGGGAATCTAGACTGCCCATTGACCTACAAGTGGTTGACCTCCTCCAAGGCGAAAGGTGGCACAATAGTTGTGAAACCGCGAGTAGTGCGAGTGGCTGCGTAAAGCTATGCCGATGCACAGAGTTTGCGCGGCAAACAATTACATAAGGCCGCGTGCATCAGCCAACAACTCAGTAACGACCAAAAGAGTGAAACCTGGCCATTTTCCCGTAGGAAGTTGGTTTTGGTATTTTTACCCACCGCCGATAGAAAGGCTGGGGACCTTGACGGGCGTCACTTTGAATCGTTCGTGAAAAAAAAGGGCCGGTCTGTGTGGATTCTAGCCAAGGAGGCCAGAGGCAAACACGAGTAAGGGGTGGACGGAATCAGCTAAAGCTTGTGGGAGACCGGTACGGACCTCCGCCCTCGCTGCTAACCGTAAATAACCGTAGTAAGGGACGAGACAGGGAACAGGAACGAGAAGAGGGTCTCCAACGGAGTTGGGGAAGAAAGAAGAAACCAGGGAAGGGGTGAGCGAACGATAATAAGGGGGAGAGGGTGACGGGATGGAGAGAAAGAGATCGCTGGTGAGCCTCGGTAGGCTAAGGAACGATCCGGATTGAACGACGATGACATGACGGGTCATGCTTAACGGTAAGCAAAAAAGACTGTAAGGTTAATCCCGCATTCAAGAAAGGCCGCTGACGCAGAACCCGGTATATGTAGGGAACTAGAGAAAAACGAGGCGGAGGCAAATGGGCAATGAGAGACGTGGGTAGGCGAGAACGCGCCGGAACGATATCGGTGGCACTAAGATTTAAAGGGACGAGTTGGAAAAGGAAAAGAGTAGGGAGGAAAGGAAAAAGGGAATTGTGGGTTGTAAGGTTGAATTCGCAAAGGGAGACGCGGCGATAAACGCGGCGGTGGGATGAGGCTGTAGAAATACATCCACGCGTTTTAACCTATTGTGCGTGTTCGTAAAGAAGGCGAATCCACAAGCCGATCCGGAGGCTTGAAAGTTCGCTTCCTCTGGTAGAAGTAGGTGGGTTTTGTCGGCTGATGGCCGTTAAATTATCTCGGCGCATGCGGCGGCGAAACTACGGGGGCACTCTGTGACGGCCGGCTTTCGCGTTGTTGCTCGTTGTGGGCTGAAAAGGGGGGCTGTAGAAGAAGCGCTTAGTGGGGCCGGCCAATTCAGCAGGGAAAGACCGGCTTACTTGTCTAAGCAGAAAGAAAGCCGCTCGGGTGCTGTCACCGGGCATGCCGGAACCGGGAGGTGGAGATTTCCATTTCGCCTCCTCATTGCTTTGAGTGACCCGAGGAATTGGTTTCACAATTTGTTACCGGTAAAGGTAATCAGGCGGATCTTTTGGCCCTGCGCCCATCTACACGGAGTGAGTGTTTCCTTGAACAAGGTCAGAAAGTATAGAGCGAAGTAAAGACGTGCGAGCTATTATGCTCGTGCCATCAATCCGCGAAGTAGTTAATGGATTTGCTGGGAACGAGTCCGTTCGGCGGAAACGGAAGTTCGATTCCAGTCTCTTTAAATTTAACGTATAAAGGCCAGTACCAGAAAAGGGCACCCGAGTGGCAGCATGTGTCTTGGAGGGACAGCAGTTCAGTGGGACTCGGCCGGCAAGCGAGCGTTCTGGCCAACGTCGCCAGGGGACAGGACAGAAAATTTGTGGAAGTTTTCATAAGGAAAATGTATACATGTCGTTGGTATGTTGGCAGTTTCTTGGAAACCGGGTAGCACCGAGGAAGTGCCCCAGACGAAAAAAGGCACCACCGTGTCGATAAAACAGCGGGGCGAACATTGTGTACTGCATCGGGCAGGAATTGTGTGCGTATAGTTTTGGTAATATTTATCAGCGCACCTCCGGACTGGTTCAACAAGGGGCTTGCAGGCTGGGTCGGCACGCTGGCTTCGTTGTTTTAAGGCGAGTTAAGTAAAATTATTTCTAGTGGGGGGGGGCCTCACTATTTCAAGGGTTTTAAAGTCCCCTTACAACACTTCAGTTGTCGGGCAGCGCCCGCCGACCACGAATTTCTCAGGGCAGCAGGCAGTCTCATTGTATTTAGACGGTATATCTGCCCATTCACTGTATGTTATGTGTTTAGTTAAGGCCTGTACCTAGCTGAATCTTGTCCTGTTCTTGTATTATTTAATGGTAATGCGGTTAACTAGTATTGTTCTTTTAAAAAGTAAAATCTGGAATTTCATTGTGTTCGGAAAGAATGTATAAAAGTTCTGAAAATTTGTGACGGCATTGCAGTGTGTTAAAAACGTTCCACGTAACGTTGTATTCTTATAGGCAGGGAGTTTGCGCACTACCGGCAGCTCTCCGTCCATGTACACAATTGTTTACAGTGTATTTTTGACGTCGCATGTTTTGTGCTGTGCTGGGGGCGGGACGATCGATCACTCTGTAGGGAGCCAGGCCCTAAAATTTATTGTAGAAAAGAAGGCGGAAGTAAGGTCTGCCTGGAAGGCAGTAGTCATGAGAGAGGGTGGTGCCGATGGGGGTAGAAGGAAACCCCGTGGAAATGGAGAAGCTTCGGCGGAGCTTGGTTGGCCAGGGGCAGCCCAGGTCAACCGTGTCTGCACAGTAAGCCTGAGGAATTTTGAACGCCTATGTGGCAGAGTTTTAGAAGAGATTCCGGCATCCACCATGGGCGCAGAGAATAGTGAAGTGCTCGGCACGGCAGTCGCTAAGCCGTTGTTTAGGCGTGGGCGTTCGCGCCTTTCTTTTTAGTAGAATAAGCGTTGTCTTTTGGCCTTTAACCTCATGGAGTGTCGGTTTGCTCGTCTTCCGCCCAGTACATGGGGTTTTACCTCGTTATGACCCACTGTTGTTCCTAGAATGTTTCGGAGCAGCTGTTACTGTCAAAGTTGCTATCCGAACGTTAATTGTTATGCAGTGCCGCCATCTCGCGACGATTAAACTTTGTGAATGTCAGTTTAACCTGGTATGGCCTCGCCTGGTCTGCAGTAATTAAAACTGAGATTTTGACAACACACCTGATTTGTTTGAGGTTGTGTGAACTCTTGTGATGACAGGTTGAATTTATAAACACAGTTGTGACGGGATTAAATGCTCGTCGCCTGTGAGTTTGGCTGTTTGACTACAACAGTCATTAACGTAAAATTTTGTAGGAATCTATGTCTCTTGAAGTATCACTCCACCTTGTAGTTTTACCGTTCATTGTGGGTCGTTCTTGGGAGGCAGCGTAACCTAAAATTTGTGTAAACTTTTGTGATTATATGAAGAAATGGGGAAGTAAACGCTTTGCTATGATTACTGTAATGTAAAATTGTATGAACACATATTTCGGAAACGATGAGTCATTGCATGTAGAGTCTTCTAGAATTAGAATTTTATAGATTAGTGTCCTTGTATCGCATTGTACCTGTGTGAAATTTTTGAGTAACGCTTTAGAGTTGGATGTTGAGCTTGTGACGGGGCTAATGTCCCATGCTCTGCCCTCTGGGCCGTCATTTTACCGCGTCATTAAACGGTTATACCGAGATGTGTCCTTTTTGGTAAGGTGATTTTGATAATTTAACTTGTGATTTGAAATCTGATTACTGTATACGTGACCGTAGTTAAGGATTTTTATTTTAAAGTTTTGACTGCCTGCCCAGTTTAGCATCGTTGAGTAGCGTAGCTGCGTGGTCGGTAGGGCGTTTTCGAAATTGGGAGGGGATGCCCCGGGAAAGGGGTACAGAAGGGAGTTGGACTTTAGTCGCTAATGTGCCACTCTTTTGGAAAATGTTTTGGGGAATGTTGTCCTGCCGACATTTAAGTCGGAGCACCTGGCTGGGCCGCCTCGGAGTTTGGTACCCTTCGCAGAGCTTTGGGTCTAAGTGGGGGGGAATGTGGCGAGCCAGCCAGGTCCAGGGTAGGGTGCGTCGCGTGTTACTTCCACGTTTGTTAGCGACCCTGCCAGAAGCAGAGTATACTTCTCGGAAGCGGAAAGGAAAGCGCGCGCGTTTCGGGGAAAAAGAACTGGTGTTGTTGTCGAGCGAGAACTGATTTGAGAGAGACGCGTGAAAGTGTGCAACTGGTGTGGTTGTCGAGCGAGGACTGATTTGTGAAAGGCGCGTTTTACTGTAAGTTGTCGTACCCGTTCTTTGTCGTTTTGGCCATTTTAGTGTTTACCGGCCGCTAAAAAAACGCGCCGGCTTTGTGGTGTACGGCAACCTCACCGCCGACGTTCCGGCGGAACCCGACAACACGGCCGACACTATGCACGGCAACTCGCTGTACAAAGCGGAGGCCGCCGCAAGCCTGCAGCTGCAGGCCAAGAACGCCGCAGCACAGAAGGCTAAGGAAGAGGCAGAAGATGAAGCCTCGTGGCAGGCCTACCTGCAGCAATTACGGGAGGAGAAGCTCCGCAGGGAGAGGGAGGAGACGGCCAACGAGTGGAGGGAGCTGGAGGAGGCGCAAGGGGAGCCGCACGTCTTCGCTCCGCTAGCCGACCACGAGAAATGGCAGGGGTGGGAGGACTGTTGGGAGATCCCTCCCGAATACTCCCACCTAGCGCCGGACTCGTGGCTCGCCTTCAACCGGACGGAGGAGGAGAGGGACAGCGCAGCCCGATGCTACGACGAGATGCGCCACGCAGGGGACACCGACTACCCCGCCGATGTCCCACTGCTAGAGCTGATAATGGACCAGGAAGGGGTGCACGGTCCGGAAAAGTACCTCGAGTTGTTCGGTCGGTGCGGGGAGGCAATCAAACGCCTGACCCTGGCACGATACATACACATAGTTGGCTGGTTTTTGTACCAAGACATTGTGGGGCCAGCCATCTATCTGTCACGCGTGCCAGATTTCGAGAACCTGCCACAACCGCCCAGTCTGACAGGGGTTTTTTAATTTTTTAAGGGGGGCAATCCCACTCCCGCCACCAGGGATCGAATTAAACGACGCCTGGCGGATGGTGAACAGGCAGGACGACTACGAGGAGTACATGCCTGAGGGATTTGACCCATTTTCAAATACACGGGGGGAGTCTTTAATAGATGGGGAATTATACCTGGTTACGAGCATACGATCCAAACAGTGAATGCAACGACCCGGAAGACATACAGCATCTCGAGGCATTGCACCGACAGATGCTACAGTATAGTCCGACGGAGTTGTCACCGTTGCCACAACCGACCCCACGGCCGCCACCCCATGGGGACCCCTTCGCCGAGGTCGAGCGCAAACGACGTCGGTTTGTGGGGGGCCTACTTGGATGATTACTAAGTTGGTTTGTTGGTCGCTGGTTGTCGTGGTTTCGTCACTAAGTTGGGCCATTAAGTGGGTAAGGGCAAACTGCTAATTTTTCCCTTTTCCCCGCAGACTAACGGGTTCTGGCAGTAGCACTGAAATAAACAAACGGGTATTTTTCCATTTAAAGTTACAAGATAAAATGTATTTCATGTAAACTATTTTCTAAAAATTCTCTTACTATCATTTTTGTTTGTGTTCGCATGTGGTTCTCACGTTATTGTTGTGCACGGCAGTACGCGAAGATCACGGGACAAAGGCCGAATATAACTTTTACATGAAATTTATAACCTTTTGCGCGAATTTTCACTTTTCTATGCGGGTTGTGAGTTTTGATCCACGCAGTTAAAATAACATTATAACCAGAATCTATAATAATTTCGGACGCGAATTATAACGTTTGTACGTATCTTTTAATAGTATACGCCATTTCTTTTAACTGTTGTGCAGTATATTATGCGATACGCGATTGGTGACGGGACGACATACGAGTATTACGGGGGGTATTATATACGGGTATTTGGATTATATTGTAATTTCATTGAATTTAGATAAAACTAGCTGCGGGTACCCGCTGCGCTGGGTAAAATCGTGCTACTAATTCATACTACTAATAACCGGACACAATAGGAACATTGGGTAAAAATCGACAATAACATTGCACAGAATATGAATATTTACAATTTAGCATGGGGAAAAAAACTGTTACGTATGACATTTATGTGACAGCACAACCCAACTTAGAACCCCTGGAACATAATAGTAATATGGTGTAAATGAGAAAAAG